GCTTGAGCCACATCCCCAGCCCCTGGCCTCAGACTTGCAGTCTCCCAGCATCAGCCTGCCCAGTCACTGGGGTTACAGGTGTGTGCCAGCTTGGTCAGCCTTTATTTTACTTTTTAAATTTTAATTTAATTCATTTAGATTGGAGGAGGTACCAGGGATAGAACCCAAGGGTACTTAGCCACTGAGCCACATCCCCAGGCTTTTTATTTTTATTTTTTTATTTTGAGACAGAGTCTTGCTAAGTTGCTTAGGGCTTCGCTAAGTTGCTGAATCTGGCTTTGAACTTACAATCCTCCTGCCTCAGCCTCCTGAGCTGCTGGGATATGGGTGTGCACTGCCATGCCTGGCCGAGTATTTTAGTTTTGAATGGGTAATAAATTCACCTAGTTTCAAGTTCGAAGGTGAAGTGAAAAGGATTTCTCCATCCCCTCATCCTTCAGCCATTCAATTTTCCAGCCGGAGTAGCTGCTTCAACAGGGGCAGGTAAAGTCTCTGAGGAGGGGACAGCTGAGCAGAGACTTGACACAGGAACCAGCCATGTGAAGAAGAGTGTCCCACAGCAGAGGGAACAGCCAGTGTGAAGGCCTAGGAGCAGGGCTGAATTGCCATTTTCTAGATGAGGTTTCAGGCCTCTGTGACCATAGGACTCTTTACAGTGTCACCCTCCATTCCATCAGTAACCATGGCAATGAGTTTGGAGTAAAGTTTTCAGGACCCTTTACCCAGCAGGTACAAATATGTATATGTCACCTTAGGTGTTCTTAATTTTCCCTTCCCTATATGTCATTCAGCAACTCACTTAATTCACTCAGTGACATTAAGATTTCACCAAGTCATTTACACGCCTCATTCTTTTAAGCTGCTGCCTAGCACCTCAAACAAGAGACATGGGAGGGTTTCTTTATCCTGTCTTCTCAATGGTCATTTATTCTGCTTCTAATTTCTTCCTCTCAAATCACTGATGACAAAAGATTCTCTATCAGACTCCTCATGTACACATCCAGGAGTTCTCTAGGGGTCTTGCTATCTGTTTGGCACAGCATTAGAGCTAAGAATGCTTTTTACGTTTTTAAAAGAAGGGAAATTGCAAAGTTTTATTTTGTTAAAAAAAAAAAAGATATTGGGGATGGGGTGTAATCCAACACTTGCCTAGCATTTTAGAAGCCCCTCTTTCTGTCCCCAGCACCATAAAAAAAAAGGAAAAAAATATGTGAACCAGACCTTTGTCTAATATGCCTCAAGTGTTTACTATTTGAACTTTTACAGAGAAAGTGCTGATTCCTATTGTAGTGCAGGTGGCACTTGGAAGTAGCAGCCCTCCCATTGCATAGACTTGAAAGCTGAGACCCAGAGGAGAAAGGACTTGGCCAAGGCCACACAGAACAGGGGTTCTCATTCAGTTGGATAAATGTTGAGCTGCTATTCTGGGCCTGGCTGGATTGGGTGAGGCGCCAAAACGGATCAAGCCTGCGCTTGCCGCCAGAGAACTCAGACTAGAGGAAATACAATCATAACCTAGGGGTACAGGGTCAAGGTCTCCCAGAGTTCGGCAGGGAAGGGAGAGGGCCAGGGGTTCTGTGGAGAAGAATTAATAACAGAGCTTGACCTAGAAAGATGAGGTGTTCCCCAAGGGAAAGGAGGCAGGAGAGCGTCCAGAAAAAGGAGTGCACTTCTTCAACTGGGCCCAGAGAATGGGTTTTAATCCATACCTTGGCTTTCGGGGTTCCGGGGACTCGGGCAAGAGGCCCATGGGCCAGATTCATTCTTTGTCTCCAAGTCTCAGTTTACTGATTTGTAAAAGGGGAAGCAGTGGCTCTCCAGGGCTGGAGCACCTCATCCAGCCCAGGTGGCGCTCTACTGGAGGGGCGTGGCCTCCCGTGACGTCATTCGGGGCGGGGCCTGCTGCGGAAGCCGTGGAGGGAGTATGGGCTCAGGCCAAGGCTGCGCCGAGAGGAGGGGGCTCCCGGGAGTCGGCCC